CTAGTTTAATTTGTTTTTGAAATTTTTGAAAATAATACTTTAATTGCAATAATCCAGTTTGTCCCAGGTTATTAATGACAGAGTTTACATATGTGAAGAACATAAAATTGAATAGTTACTTCCAATTGGAGTTCCACTTTATTAATCCCATCAAGGAAAAATAAAATATCCCCAGCATATGTTTTTCCACAACATTGACTCAGTGTCAATCCATTTATCCTTGTGTGAATGCTTTATACATTCCTCAGTAATGTGCTATGCAGCATTGACAATTTATAAGGCAATAAATATATATAGGCCCAACAAACTGAGTGACTTAAAGGAGTTGAATTTTTACTTAGTAATTACCTGCTACATTTTTTTAACTATAATGCTAACTTTATATAGCACTGAAAAGAAATTATTTAAGAGCATACACAATTATTTAGCGTACAAAATATGCAACTATGTTAACATGTTTTGGGACAAATCTGCAAAATCCTCTTTAGTGTGCAGACGTGCCATAGGTGGCAGGAGAGTTTCCAAAGCCAGATTTCAAACTTGGCTATTTCAGTCTTCCAGCTGAATAGACGCATGATCATTCTCTCAGAGGACCAGATCATCTCTGAGTCCTTGTGGAGGCACACTTACATGTGGGCATGTGTGTGTGTGTGTATGTGAGGTGTCTGTAGGTTACATGTTATGTGTTCCTGAAAGACATGCTGTATTAGGGCAAAATTACAGCTGTTACAAAACTCTTTAAGAATGCCCACATGAAGCCAGGCTCGGTGGCTCAGCCTGTAATCCCCGTGCCTTTGGGAGGCTGACGTGAGTGGATTTCCTGAGCCCGCGGGTTCGAGACCTGCCTGGGCTGTGAGACCTCATCTCTACAATAAATTAAAAAATCAGCCGGGCTTGGTAGTGCGCGCCTGTAGTTCCAGCTACTTGGAAGGCTGAGGCGGAAGGATAGCCGGAGCCCAGCAGGTCGAGGCTGCGGTGGCCGGGAGCGGCCACTGCACTCCAGTCTGGGCGACAGAGTGAGACTCCAACTCAAAAAAAAAAAAAAAAGAATGCCTACATGGGCCAGGCTTGTTGGCTCGGCCTTTAATCCCAGCACTTTGGCAGGTAGAGGCAAGTGGATTGCCTGAGTCCGCGGGTTCGAGACCAGCCCAGGCAACTTGACAAGGACTTGTCTCTATAATAAATAAAAAAAAATTAGCCAGGCCCACGTGGTAGCACACCCTGTAGTTCCTGCTACTTGGAAGGCTGAGACAGAAGGATCGCCAGAGCCCAACAGGTCGACACTGGGGTGGATGTGAACGTGCCACTGCACTCCAGCCTGGGCGACCGAGTGAGTTCAACTAAAAAGAAATTGGAACATCCCCAAAATGGTGCCATATACTTTTCTGCATTCCTTATTATAGTAAATGTGATGAGATTCATCAGACACTCATACTCATGTGATATTAGTAAAAGGGATGACTGATTTGACATAAATGATTGTTGTCTGTGCAACAAATTCAAACCAACTTCTAAATGGTGGCACGAAGTTTAGAGATTAAAAAGGTCCAGGATATTCATGATGGTTCATGAAAGAGTAACTCCCAAAAGCTGTTTTGTCTAAGTTGGACTCCCCCACCCCCCGTCTCAGAACTAAAGAGCAGTCAATAATTAGAGACATATACTTTTGAGTGTACTATGGCTTGTTGCACTCCCTATCATTAGGGTGAAAGGGTACACCTGAGTTGATAGGACTAAATTATCATGGCAGTCAGGTGTTTTCATTCCGGGATTGCTAAAGACATCAAGTATGAACCATATCTTTGTGGATAGAAAAACAAAAGGTAAGAAAAGTTGTCATTGTAAACATAGTTAAGCATTTGGGGACACTTGTGGCCTGCCCTAGCTACAGTTTGACAATTATTTTGTAATTGGAAATAGTCATCAATTATGCAACTAGCATATCCCTGTACAGATTTTGGTACTGGCAAGTGGTGTCTTGCTGTAATCAATACCTAAAATGTGGAAGTGGCTTTGAACAGAGCTTGAAAAATTTTGAGAAACATAATAGAAAAAGGGTAGTTTGTCTTGAAGAGACTGTTAATAGAAGTATGGTTGTTCCATAAAGATATTACTAGTGAAGGCACATTTCAATTTTACCATGAATGACACACTTAAACTAAATGAGACTTCTAAGGCACAATTGTGTGAAATGTGTTCAAAATTGATATTCGTTTTGATCCCACCACCTCTTATCTACAGAATGGGTAAAATCAGCTGGTGTACATGAAGAGATTATCCTATGAGATACTAATCTTCCCTTGTAGAATTCATTTAGACAATGGATGCTTGAAAAAGTTGAAAATATGTAGTTGAGGTCTTTGAAAAATTATTCAATAAGCTTGACTGGCTTAGAACTGGAACAGAGGAAGGTGAGGAGGAGTGTCACAGACCACTTCCCTCAATCCTTCAAAAAAAGCATGCCAATGAGCATGTGCTCTCTTCAGGTACAAGCAAAACTCTTGGAGGAACAAAACCTAAAGCTTGTTTTCATTTATGAAAATTGCAAGTTGCTTAAAGACAGTAGTGGTTTTCTTTTTCATATTCAACCTTAGACTTTATACAGTGTAAGGATTCGATATACATTCCCAGGTAGTGGTGGAAACATGAGATCAAATACTAAGTCATAGAGCAGTGGTTTTCAAACTGTAGTATGCATCAAGTTTAAGAGATTTCCAGGCCTAGCCTAAAACCACAAACACACAAGATATCACAGGTTATTCAGGTATTCACAAAAGGCTTGAGGACCACCACTCTACTGCAGTGCTAATAATAGGTGCACCAAGAAAATATGGCTTTGTGGCCAAATAAGTTTATCTCAGTATTTCTCAAAATTAAGCAGACTTTCTTAACATGGGGTTTTTCAGAATTTAATGTGCTAAAACACACTAATTCTAAAGAAGGGAATAGTGCATGCTTGTGGTTCTTTGTGAGTTGGAGTCTCACTCTGTCACCCAGACTGCTGGAGTGCAGTGGCACGCTCCCGGCCACCGCAGCCTCGACCTGCTGGGCTCCGGCGATCCTTCCGCCTCAGCCTTCCAACTAGCTGGCACTACAGGTGTGTGCTACCATGCCCGGCTGATTTTTTATTTATTGTGGAGATGAGGTCTCGCCAAGTTGCCCAGGCGGGTCTCGAACCCACAGGCTCAGGCAATCCACTCACCTCAGCCTCCCAAAGTGCGGGATTACAGGCTGAGCCACTGAGCCCAACTGGTGGTTCTTAAAACGTGGCTCCCATGGCGAACAGCCTCACCCTCACCTGTGAACTTGTTAGAAATGCAAAGTATTGGGCCCACCAGACCTACCAATTAGAAACTCTGGAGGTGAGGTCTAGCAATCTTGGAGTCTTACAAGCTTTCCAGGCGATTCTGATGTGTGCTAAAGTCTGAGAACCAATAGTGTGTTTGTGGTGTTTTTCAAAACTATTTGACTACAGCAATTATTTTTCTTTCATCAGGAAGGTGGCAAGACTAATATTTTCTGCCTTGAAGAATGCTTCTAAAGTAATGATATGTGAAAGTGATGGTATCAGCGCTTGTAGGGAGGTCTCTTTGAGGACTATTTGTTTATTTATTAATTTATTTAAACATCTCATTCTGTTCAAAACAATTTAAGGTTGCTCAAAAAGAATTCTTCCTTGGTATTTTGACCCATTCATACTTATGCTAGGCTTCCTTGAGACACCAAAGTGATGATTTGTTTATTACCAACAGACTTACACTATTCCTGAACAACTGAAAAGCAAGGCCGGCACACAAAGTAGTCAATAACCAAACCATGAAGCAGAAAACAATGCACTATTTTTCCCTACTGATTGAAAATCGGTAAGACTTAATGGGGGAGATGATTGAATGAGACTCTACTGGTGTTTAAAATATGGTACAAAGTCTCCTGAGTCCAAGACAAGCAGGTAGCTTCATCTCGTGTAGGTATGCTTTAGAACTCAGGCAGAGTGAGGGAGGATGAGTAGTACTTAAGAAGAAATCACAAGGTGACTGGACTGGGCCGGGCTGTCCTGGGTTAGGAGCCTTTGCTGAAACTAGCTCTAACATCTTAGAAATGAGTAGCTTTCCCTCCTTGCAAAAACATGCTGCTTGGGGACCCAGTAACTTTATTTTGCAGATTTCCTGAAAAGCACTAGTCAGTTATGTTTTACCTGTTATACCACTCTTCCCTCCATATGCAGATGCTCCTCAACTTATAATGGGGTTACATCACAATAAACTCATTGAAAGTTGAAAATTCGTTTAATACACATAACTTACCAAACATCATAGCTTAGCCTAGCCTAGCCTACTTTAAATGTTCTCAGAATACTTACATTAGCCTACAGTTGGACAAAATCATCCACTACAAAGACAAGTGTTCAATGCCTCATGTAATTTATTGAATACTGAAAATAAAAAGCAAAATGGTCGTATGGGTACTCGAAGTAAGGTTTCTACTAAATGAATATCACTTTTGTAACATTACAAAGCCAAAAACCAAAAGTTGAACTGTTATAAGTCAAGGAACATCTGTATTGACTATTCTCGAAGGATTGTCAGGCAATGGCAGCTAAAGAAAAGTCATTGATGTTAATAAATGTTTACATTTTCCTTCAGCTCTCAGAGATAAAAAGGACATTATATATTTAGTCATGTGTATTCTCTCTCAGAGAAGAAAAATGGGCAACAAAGAGGAGAAATGACACACTGAGTGGCAGAGAAAATACTACAACACAGATCTCATTTGTACAATTCGATCACTAAATGGGAATATGGTTTCCTTTGTACCAATCTGAAGTACAAGTACAATAATTGGTACAACAAACACACTTTAAAAAGTGTTTGTGTTAATATGAATCTCTAGACTGTAGAGTATCTGAGGACAGTGACCTTGTCAACATTATTCAGTGTTTAACTCCAGTTTCTACTACAGTTTGGCACATGATGGACACTCAATAAATACATGTTGAATAATTTTTCTTTGAATGAATATAAAGAGTTTATTCGGTGCGTATTTGGGTATACAACAACAAATATTAAACAACTTTTTTTTAAACTTTTTGTGCACAGGACAGAAAACTGCCTGTACATGCTATGTCCACTTTTGGAACACAGATTGTAACAATTATTAATGCACAAAATCTTACATATCATGCAACTCTATGCCAAGATTCCAACTTTCTTCCATGCAACAGATATGAGGATCTAAATGGAAACCTAGCTAAGTCTTAAACACTTTTCCAGTAGCAAGTATAATATATGTTGTTTAGGGGGAACCAGTCTTAACATTTCCTTGTACACAATATTCACGTGCCAAATACAATGACGGGAGGACTCATACATATACAAATAAGACATTTCTTATTTTAACAACACAAAAGACAACATCACAGTTCCACAGTTTCTGTCTTTACACAAGAAGCCACAATAGTTTAACATGATACACAAATGGAATTAAGAGAAATCTACACTTGAGAATAATCTTTTTCATAAAGTTATCTTTACCAACTGGGGTTGACAATACAACTCAATTTCTACACACAAAGTATACAGCAGAAGAATTTGACCAGAATACTACAACTCTAAAAAAAAAAAAATAAAATTGGTAAAATCACAAGAACACTATTTCCTTGAGCCTGAGATGCCAATTCAGATTCAACCCTGAATTTGGTTGATTTGGATTAAGTGAAACAGAGTCAGTAGAACCATTTAATTCCAGAAATAATCAAATTGCACTATATCAAAGTAAAGAATACATTTGAATCAAGCGTAGATAGAAAACATTAAGCCAAGAAAACAACACAGTTCACATCATTGTGTTTGCGTCTACAAAACATTTAAGCAGTTAATTTGTTTTGTTTTATTTTATTTTTTGTTTAGTTTTATTTTGAAGAACAATTGTGGTCTTTTAAAATTTCTTGGTTGGAGAGTAAATTTTGATCAGCATTAGTGCTGTGAAATATTTTTGGTTTGCCATCCCCAAAGTATAGGTGAGATCATGAGAAAATGTGGCAGTCCTTCTCCCAGATTTAGTTCACTGATAATGCTTGGCATTCTTTTGCACAAGCTCAATCTGAATTATAGGGCTTTAATACGGATGATAAGAAGGTCTAACGGCAGATAGAATGGTGAATTCTGCCTGTTTGGTAAACGTCGCTGACAAATTTGAACTTTTGGGTGAAGGACTGCTAGAAGAATTCAACAGCACCTGGAGGTAAGGTTCTGTTACAGAGCCCTTGTTTTGCCCTCACTGGCTACGTTGATTCATTGTGGCTCATGGATTTGCCTCCATTCAGCACGCCAGAGACACTTCTGCTCTTGGTTGGGGTCCCACTTCCAGATCGGGAGAACTCCGTGAGGTCGTGCAGTGACGGCTCCTTGTACATGGCCACTGAAAAGCACATAAAGATGGTGTAAAAGTCCTTCAAATGGGTACACCAATGTGGGGTATTCTTGAAAATTGCTAAGAATAAATTTTGTGTTCTCATCACAAAAGCCATAAGTATGCAAGGTATTCAAATGTTAATTGCCTTGATTGAGTCATGCTATAATGTAAAAAGTGGACTGGATCAGATTAAGTGAGTTCTAGTCTTGGTGCAGTAGTGTATAAAGAATTTTAATGTATAACTTCTATCACTTATGGTTATATAAGAGAGGATTAATAAAAATGCATTTAATAAAGTTCTTAGAAGCTTAAATATGATCTACAGCATACTGTGCAAGCCAAATATTAAAATTTAAAATATTTTAAAATACTGATTTCTATCATACTTTAAAGTGAAACTCTCTGAGAGTCTAAGTATTAGCACAATTCTTGGTGCAATAAATGGTGAAAATTGTTATTGTTGGGCTGTCAATAACAATACTAGCTTATATTTATAGAACATATAACATGCTAGATACTATTCTACGTTCTTTGTATGCATTATCTCATTTAATGCATGTAATAATCTTGTGCCATAAGCACTCTTATCCATATTTTATAGATGAACTTGAGGTACAAACAGGTAAAGATCATCCAGTTAGTAAAAAATGAAGCTGGGTCTCAAATCCAGGTAGTCGGACTCCACACAGTGCTAAACTGATTTGAACTGGGCAGTCTGCCTCTTCTCTAATTTCCTGTTGTAACCCCAGGCTGGTAATCTCTTTGAGGTCTTCTGCTTTGCCTGCATTTTGTTTCTTCTCTACCATGACTCACTATAATTCATAATATCCCTATCTCCCACAGCCTATTCTTAACCTTTATCCTTTCTAATTTGCTATTATTTTGCTAATAATTAGTGGAAAATCAGAAGCAAAAATGTTGAAACAATATTGTTGAACCCTTAGAGAAGACTCAAGGAACTTTCCACTAATTGTTAATTGAGCACACAGTTTAACATCTAAGTTTCTACAAGGGTCATTTTGGCACAATCTGGAGTTCTTGGTTGTCCTGAGTTAGCAATTAAACCACTTCCACATAAGTAAGGTGTTATTATATGTAGATGGACTATGGAAAAATTAAAATCAAGAGAGTAGATGTTTTCAATTGTCATAAAATGTTTGTAAATTTTTATATAAATTTCCTAATGTGAAAGAACCATGTTTCACTTTCAAAAATATGATAAAGGATTTATTTACATTAGTGTTTTTAGTACCATAATCCATAGATTTTAGCATATCAAATTTACCTTTCAGTGGTTTGGGCAGAAAATGAGCTGCAGGCTTATTCTTCTTCACATGATTGCCTTTCATGATCTCTCCTTCTTTGTTCAGACCCAAATACCATCCTCGGCCTGACTGTTGCTGACGGTATATCATCGATGAATATGTCACATAATAATTTTCAAAAACGGATTCTTTGAATTTGCACTCAGGTGTGAAATGTTCCTGCAACAAAAGTAAATAAGCAAAAGCTCAATGTTTATAGCTAAGAATTTCAGGTAGAATCATCTGCTACTGCCTTTCCGGAGTTTAGGACATACTTTGTTAAAGTATGTATGGTCAGTGTTCTATTTTAATAGCATAAACTACTATCATTGGAAAACAACAGACTGTATATAACATTTTCCATGATGCTTTAGTAAAAGCCCTAAGTGAAAGCACTACTGATCAATGATTAGTTCTCTTTGTAATAGGTAATGGGAACATTAGAACCAGCCACATAAGGGTAACATATCGGACAAATACAAGAGCCAAGGAGGGAAAAGACAAACATAAAGCTGTCACACAAAGTTTTGTTCCCTTCAAGATTAAATATGAGAAAATAAACATTCGGTCTTTGTACTTAATTTTCACGGATTCTCAATTTACCATATGGTATGATTACCAACTGCTCAAGGCTGAAACCTCCATTAAAATGCTGGCTGCCTATATGTCTAAAAGGCTGCTAAAAAGAAAGGCTACCTTTTACTTTAAGGTGAACCAAATTGATTTTCTTTTTAGATCATTGGACCTTGACTTGAAAAAAAAATTCCCCTCACCCCTTCTTTACCTTACAGTAACATTTACAAGCAAATCAATACAAAAGCAAAGAATTTACAGTATATTCTACAAGCAGACAAGAGAGCATTGCAGGGGACTTTGAACCCAGGAATGTGGTTTTCTGCCATGTACCTGGCCATGTTTTCTTTGGACTGGACCATTCAAATAAAAGGCTCCTGACACTACAGACCATTTCGAGAAAACAACAACAAAAAAAACCTTCTTTTAAGCTTGTGTGTATATGTGTGTGTATGCATGCAATAAATAGCCATTTAAATGATAATTCCTAAGCCAAGTGAAATGAACACACATTGTAACCTATATGTGATCCACAGAGTAGCAAAGAGCCTACTTGAAGTAGAAGATAATTGGAAATTGCTAGCTGAGCTACATGTGACAGAGGCTGCAATGAAGCTATCAGATTTTTGGTAATTTCCTGAGATATTATCAGGAATATATTTGATAATATTACCAAAACAAACCTTATAAAAATATTGCAAGCTTTCTTTTAAAAACAGTCTTCATTGTTCTACTTTCCTTCATTTTCATATTGAATGTCATTCTAAGCAATACACGCTAGCTGAGCAACAACAGCAGAAGCACTCTCAGAGTCACACTTCATCAAAGAGGAACACATTCTTGAAGGTAAGCACACAAGCAATTCGCATTTCTTTTTTTCAGGTAGTACACAAACTCTGTTTCAGCTGGTAATCTGCCTGATTTCCCCCATGTTGTCTCCAGAGTGCACAAATTGGAGTGATTCTTGGGGTTATTTTGGTCTAGGGGCACATTTAATAGATACTCAGGGAATTCAAACAAATTCCACCTACTCAAGAAGAAATATACTTCTAAGGCAACTGTCACATGTTAGGAACCAAAATGTTCTATTTATGGGCTGTGAAACTCCTCTTTGTAGAATTTCTCAACATAGGGAAAGCCAAGAAAGTACAAAGAAATTTGACTAAAAGTCTCTATATTTCCTCTAGTGATGAAGACAACTGCATAGAAGATTGCTAAAATTCTTTGAGAATTAACTCATCATTTGGAAAAAATCTTCATGCTTGCAGAGTGGATTTTCTTTTCATAAAGGGTCAGATCCCATTTGAAAATAAATGTGGAGATTAATACATATGATCAAGGTGGTTGACACCAATTAGCCGTATAAACAATATATGGCTGACTACAGAATGGTGAGATGGGATCAGCACATATTCTAAGGCAGGTCCTAGAAAAGGGTTGCACTTGATGTCTTGTATGACAGCAGCATTAATTCACTAATTTAATATACATTTCCTAAGGGCCCATTATGTTCTTGGATGGTGCTAAAAATGTGTAGGTAAATAATATGTGGAGTCAGACAGCTTACCATGTATTTGAAGGAATCAGGCATGTTCCCAAATGACATAGATACAAGGAATGCTACCATAAGTACAGAAAGAGAGGCATAAAGAAGGTACTGGATGAAAACAGACAAAGTCAGACTTAATTCTGATTGGGAGACTGGAACGTGCTACACAGAGAGGGTGTCGTTTTAGATGAGCCTTTCAATGCAAAAAAAAAAGGATAATATTTGAGGCACAGAACCACACTTCCTCTAATCTCCATTTTTCCTGTGTTCCCTGTCTTTGGGACTAGAGTCATCATCCTGGCAGTTGCTCACACTTAAAAATGAGAGGACCTTTAAATTAATTCCTATGCTTTCTATTCCGTGACCCATGATCTTCACCTTCCATTTCCATTGCCACTGCTCTACTTTATGCCTTATTACCTCTTCACTGGACTGTTGTAATAACCTTCTAACTGGCCTCATCTGTTGGACGGTTTGCCTTCCTAAAGCAAAGTTCCTTTTCTCGGAAACTTTTGATGGTTTCAGCTTGCCCATAGTAAAAACAACAAATAACTTGATGGGACATTTATAAATCTCCCGTTTCCGTCACTACCATGCTTTCCAGGGTCATCTTCCATCACAGAACTAAGTGTCCCCTTACAGATACCCTTTATGCCCTTTGCTTATAATATCATTCCTTTATTTCTCTACCTACTGGCTTCCCTCTCACTCTTCAAGGATTAGCTCAAAAATGACTGTTTTTGGAATTGTATATGTCTGCCAATCAAAACTGACTACACTTGTTATTTGTGCTCCCATAGACTCTATCTACATCTCTAGTATGACTCACAAACGTGCAATGATTAACTTCAGATGGCAGGAATCTTGTCTTAGTCTTTTCCCATGAAAAACAGTCATATTGCCTAGCACATGGCAGACCACTCAATTATTGTTTATCGACTTTGAATTTCAGAGATTCAGTTTAAATACCGGAAATTCCATTACTCAGCATTATCAACTAGTAAAAAGTCTACAGGGAATTTCTGTAACATCATATCACAAAATCAGTTGTATGTAAAAGGAGGCTGTCACTGCATGGACAGATCCTGCAAGTGTGATTTAATGTCTGTTAAGAATAACATGGCACCTACAACATCAGGAGGAAAAACTTGTCAATTGTTACAACTATTGGAAAATGGCAAAGAAGAACTCAATGAACTGTCACATTCTGGCAATTTCTTAGTCATCACCACTAAATTTGGACTGAAATTCTTGGTAGAAAGGGAGAAAAATGAGACCAAAAAAAGAATGTTGAAAGCCGGGCTCGGTGGCTCAGCCTGTAATCCTAGCATTTTGGGAGGCTGAGGTGAGTGGATTGCCTGAGCCCACGGGTTCGAGACCCACCTGGGCAACTTGGTAAGACCTCATCTCTACGATAAAATCAAAAATTAACTGGGCGTGGTAGCGCACGCCTGTAGTTCCAGCTACTTGGAAGGCTGAGGCGGAAGGATCGCCGGAGCCCAGCAGGTCGAGGCTGTGGTGGCTGGGAGCGGCCACTGCACTCCAGTCTGGGTGACAGAGTGAGACTCCAACTCAAAAAAAAAATGTTGAAGCAACCAAGGGAGTGTATTGTTCTCTGTGTGTGCCACTGCCATTTTACTCAGTGTTGATATGAGTAGGCAGAAGAGGCTTGAGTTTTTTCAAATGTGGAAAAATATGAGCATCCCATCCAACATAGGAAGGTCCACTAAAGTGGGCAAAAGGACAGATACCTCTATGTCTTAGCATTAATTTGTATAAATAATGAAAAATTGATTTGACTCAAGCCAGGAAAGCCCTATTCAGAGGAGACCAGGTAGACATTTGCCAAGGAAACAACTTACTTTGATTGATCTGGAGATGCTTACTAGTGCTTTGGAAGAAGGTACCATAGTGATCTTGACACATAGAAAGTGCTAAATAAAGGCAACAATCACTGTGTTCTGGGTTTAACAGGTATTAGACAAATATCTGCCATTATAATGAATGAATGAATGAATGTAAAAGATGTCATGCATTCCCTGCACAGTCACTAAGAAATTACTTGGCATGAGTACAAAAGAAAAGGTTTTTACATCTTATAACATTTTATGCAGCGATTTCTCTTGAGTTGTTTACCTATCACATATCTATATTTTTCAGAGAAATGCCATTTTTTTTAGTTTATTAAATAATTAATCAGTCTCTAACATTTTCCCTCTCTATAATCATTTTTATTCACCTCAAAGTTCAAGGCTTGTTTCTTCTCAATGAACATTTAACCTTTTATCTAAGGAATCCATGCCAGTTAGTTATAATGATCATATTCTGGGTAAGGAATGAGGAATCTACTTTTAGAGAACAAGTGGGCCCAGGAGCAAAATCAAACACTACTTTTTACTAATTTATTCACACAATATTTTTTTGGAGGGTGAACTATCACTGACAAGAAGAAAACATTTAAAACTGTAAACATCACATCAATAGAACATATTGGGGAATTTTTCCAGCCACAGATGGTAATAGCTGGCTGCCCTTACCAGAACATGTTAGACCTCCATACGGACATTGAGAGGCAAGTAAAAAGGCATTAGCACAACCAGTAAAGTTGAATATATGCAAATAACCCAAGATCCAAGGGAGTGCCAGAAGACATCCTTGCCCTGGAACAAAGGGCATGGAACCTTCACTATGCTGTTACAGTCAGAAGAACCAACAGTGCCCTGGGTTCCCCTGGCACCAAGGGCAATGTATGGACAAAGTGCAGTACCTCTTTGGCTACCTGGAGGTGGAGCCAGGTCAGAAGAAGCATGGGCTGTGATAACGACTTCCCTGGAGGAAGCCAAGTAAGGGTCATGTCAGTCAGCAGATGATGTGTAGCTACACCCTCAGTAGCCATAACCAAAAAGATGAAAGCTAAAATATACCTGTATATAATTTGTGTCATCTCAGTGTCTTAAACACATCTCCAATACCAAAATATACATATCAAGACTCAATGCCTTCCTGATTAAAATAAGTAATTTGGCAAACATAGGCCTTAATAACAGGTTTTCATACT